TTTCTAGTTTTCCTTTGAAGTTGATGCAACACTTTTCAAATCTATTTAGTTCTGTATTTCGCAGCAAGGTGTTTACTAAATAGAAAGATGAAAAGCTATAAACAAGCATAAAAAACAGAGTAGAAATAAGTCACTGCAAAAGGAAAGGTTGCTTGTTTAGCTGCTTTTGAGTCTCTGGGATGCTAAAGCACATCAAAAGTACCGCCTGATGGTCACTCTAAGGGCGTTATTTGTAGAATTTTTTTTCTAGTGCATTGTAAGAAATTGTTAATGCGATGTTAGTAATCAAAAAGAGAACAAATAAATTAAAAGTACTCAGAGGATTAAATCATCGATTCTATCGCAAGATTACATTTTAGTCTCGTAGGTCTGGAAATACGGATATATGTCTCATTAAGTACATACTTAGATTTCCTTAATTGCGGATAACAGATGACGCTGTTTAGCGTAAGCAATGAGTATTTCACCAAAAGTACATGTAGTATCACTTTAAACGCAAGCTGATTGCCTTCCGCTTTCTGACATTGACGTTTGAAGGAAGGGTAGAAGCTAGCATTATATTGGGCAGGGGTTTCTTTCCCTATTTATAAGGATTTCAGGGGGGGGGAACAAAAGACCCTTCAAAGGGAGGAAGTTCTTATTTATTTTAAGAAAATTTCCGTGGGTCACAGCTAAATATTCAGAACAAAAAAAAACTTTTTCAAGGTATCCAATAGTATTACTAACATGCACCTAACATCAGCTTGTTTGAAAGCTTTATTGATTGTTCCTACGAGAGAGGAAATCAGATAAATTAAAACAGATAAGAAAGAGAGACGTACAAGCATAGCAGGAACAAGAAATTTACAAGCGAATTGGGCTCAGCAGGGCGTGCGCTATCGAAAACATTGCTAATTTGCTTTCGCTAATAATATTGGAAACCAGCTGACTCGTAGAGACGTTCGTTCGTAAATGTCAATTTCAGTCACCCACTTTTTGGAAATTAGCCAAAGCAAGCACTTTTTTTGTGATCATTACGGCAGTAAATGTCGAAAACACGTGCTTTCTTCTCGTTAAACTTTACAAAATTAGCTACAATCCCGATAGAGTACAACTATGTAATTTATTAGGAGCATCTAAAAATAAATAGCGCTTCATTTTCGCATCAGCAATGCACTTTTTATTAGCAGTATGGTGAAAGCAGATCGTCCTCCTTAAACCTTAAGCTTTATCCATTTGAAAGAAAACAAATCGTGAGAAGTTTGACATTTGAGGATGCTAAGCTATAATCCAGACAAAGTTGCGTTTTGCTTGAAGGTTATTTCAGTAAAAATCGTCTACTTCCTAGAATATTGCGCGAAAATGTTTTGTTCAAGTGAAAAGAAATCCTTCTGATAATTAGACACCTAGCTTGACATGCATTCTGTTCATTGCAATCAAAATTTGGTTAATCTGCCTGTAGTACTGATCAGTACAGTTATACTAGTCAATAACCAAGCCTCAAAAAACTGTATGTGCCGTAACAAAGAATCCCGAAAGTCGACTAGAATGTGCACTTGACAGTGGATCAGC